AGGGCATTGGATCCCCTGGAACTGGAGTCACAGATGGTTGTTAGCTACCATGTGGGTGCTGGGAATCGAACCCGGGTCCTCTGCCAAGACCAGCCAGTGCTTTTAACTGCTGAGCCATCTCTCTAGACCCCATTTCCTGATATTTTTCAATTCTTGTAAGTTCCATTTCCAAACTTAGGATTTTTTCAATATCTAAGGATAAAAATTGCTCACAAATTTAAACCAGAAATTATCTTAAAGCAGGGAAGTTCTATGTATTAGTTTGTCTTGTTACTGCAAACTCATGAACTCATGCAATTCACTTCTTGACCCAAATGCAACAACTTACATTCATCACTTCTCAGTTTTATTGGGATATAACGTAAATATCCTGCGACAAAATACCCTGACAAAAGCAACTTAAGGGTTTGTTTTGACTCACAGTTCCTAGGAACAGTCCATCATGGCAGGGAAGTCATGGCAGGAGGAGCTTTGTGGCAGCTGGTCACATTGCATATATAGTCAGGAAATAGGAGACCGATGCTGCTGCTGAGCACATTTCCCTTTATTCAGTCTAGGACTCCAACCCATAGGATGGTGCCACCCACAATTACGGTGGGTCTTCCCACCTCAATTAACCTAATCTAGATAATCCCTCATGGGCATGCCCAGAAGCATGTCTCCTTGATGATTCTAAATCCCATCAAGTTGACAGGCATCCTAGTTAGCTTTCTATTGTTGTGATAAAACACTCTGACCAAAACCAACTTGGGGAGGAAAGGGTTTTATCATCTTACTCTTCCAAGTGACAGGCTATCACTGAGGGAAGCCAAGGCAGGAGCTTAAACAGGGCAGGAACCTGGAGACAAGAACTGAAGCAGAGATCATGGAGGAATACTGCCTACTGGCCTGCTTTCTTATATAACTTAAGACCACCTGCCCAGAGGTGGCACTACTCACAAAAGGCTAGGCCCTTCCACATTAATTAGCAATTAAGGAGATGCCGGACAGACATGGCACCAGGCCAGTCCAATAAAGGAAATGCTTTCTTGAGGTCCCCTCTTCCTGGGTGTGTTAGGTTGATAACTGATGCTATCCAATGTTAATCATCATAATATTATATTTTGGTCCAGACCACCTCCTAATTTTTCCCTTTTCAGTTTGAATATTGCTCTTTGCCATAAGGGATGGAAATTCTTGTCATGAAGCCCTCTGTTCTTTCAAAAGATAGACCACAGAAAGTGTTTTGAAAAGTCTAAAGGGCTTTACAAATGCATGTTTATGTATCATGACTGCCCCCTTCAGCATTTCAGACTGAAAACACATGCGAGCTGCAGAGCATGGCAGAGCTGCAGTCTCAGAGCACGACTCTTCTGGGGGATGCTGGGCTTCTGCCTCTGCTCTCCTGCCTTCCTTGCCGTTCATCTCAGAGTCAGTGACCTGAAGTCATTTCCTGACCCTTAGTTTTATTTAGTTGCCTTCCCATTTTCTGTAGCTGTTTCAGCAATAGCATGTTCAAGACCTGGGCCTTTGGGTATAGTTTACAAAAGTGTTCTACTTACAGTGTGTTTACTAAAGAGGAGGAGGAGTGGCTTGATTTTGGAGCTCCCCTACTTCTCTGGGTGGATGGAAAGAATGGAGGGAAGGAAAAAGGGAAGATGGATGGATAAATTTCATTTTTACTAAAAATACCTAAACTAGTATTTCTCGATAGTTTAGGGCATCTCAGCCCCTGCCATTTGACTGAATTTTAGAATATGGCATAATTTTTCAAATGTTTTAAAGATGAAACCATGGCAAATTCCTTAACTCAAAATGAAATGTTTATAGCAGATTTTGCCTTATTGATGCATTTACGCAATTAAAATGGGGTCTGTCTGAACCCAGTTATATAGACTCCAAGAAAGAGCAACTGACAGACCAGTCTCCAAGCTCAATGTCCTCTGGAGTTAGCATATCACTCTTCACACCTGCCTCAGGAATGAGTGAACTCCAGGCTGAAGAATCATGGCCAGAGCATGTGACATGTGCCAGGCCCCCAGGAGTCTTTGTACCCAAGGGATGCTCTTTCATTGTGCCACTGTCCAGAAAACTAGGTGGTCAGGACACAATATTCAAAGAACTTCCAAGAACCAAAGTCCAGATCTGAGAACCTTGGCGTCCTAGAGAAATTGATCACATAGGTTATCTCCACAGGGCAAGATGGGACAGCAGGAGGAAGGAATGGGCTGGCCTGGTATCCCAATCAGGAGAGAAAACAGGCTCAAGATGCAAAAGTGAATGAGGTCTATGTGCCAGTGACCCCACTAGGATTCTCTTCATTTTTCTCCCTCTTCTTCCTCATGACCTTGGGAAGGGGTATTATTGCTCTTATATGAGACCAATAACCTGTTTGAGATCACCTTCAGGAAGGGACAGAGCAGGACTGAATCCAGATCTGCCTGTGGCATTACCAACTCTTCTGTCTTCCTTCTTCAACAGTTCTCTGGAGGCCTCCAGGACCTACTGCTCCCCCAGAATCAGTTCACCATGTTCCTGTACTGCTTCATCTTTATACATATCATCTATGTCGGCAAGGAGATGGTCTTCTTTCTGTTCTCCAAGCATTACCTGTTCTGCCTTGCGGCCATCTTGCTGTGTTTGATTAAAACCTTGTGGTCCTACTTCCAAGTGCTTTTGCTTTCTCCATCACTGGGAATGTGACCTGTGAGTCACATTCCCCCGCCCCCTTCCCATTGGAACCTCGCTGAAAGGCTCAGCTGCCTTCTACTGATACCTGAGTGTGAAGCTTCACATTCAAGCTCCTTACCCTGACCCAACTTATCCCTATGGATGACCAGGCCTAGACCCTAAGGAAGGATTTCAGAAGTCAGGAACTTAAGGAGAGAGATCTTCAGAGAGGAAGGACTTTTAGAAAACCTTTCTAGAATCGCAAAACCACATGACTGAGCTAGTTTGGGTCCTACCACATCTACTCATGTTCACACAGATTTTTTTTAAGTTGTGAGGAACCTATGGTAGGACTGAGGAGAGCCCCTTCCTCCACAAAGATGCCCTTGTCCCAGTCCCAAGAATTATGAATATGTCACCTTAAATAGCAAAAGAAACTGTTACCTGAACTATTAGGACCAGAGCTAGGCTTGACCACCTGTTCTCAATAAACAAATTAAACAAACAAGTAATAGTGAAAGTAGAGAAGATTTATGTCATGTAGCCACATTGGAAAGAACAAATGAAGATGTCCAGTGACACCCCCCAAGTCCATCTTTAGGGTTCTAACATAAGGTTTTGGTTCAAATAGAGGGCCGGGGGTATGCATAACTAAGCTGTCGAGGTGTGGTCCTGCCCAATCATCAGCTCCAGTCTCTCCTGTAAGGTGGTCAGACACATTGTTAGAACTGTATATAATTTCTTTCCAGAAGACAAGCTCTTTGACTGCTACCAGACTTCTGCCCTTCTCCTCCCAGCATGAGACTCCTAGGGAAATTTAATAGTCTGGTAGCTAAAAGGAGGGGCACAAGTGCCTCTTAGTTTAGAACATCTTCATCCTTTCATGCCCACATGGACAACTCTGAGATATGCTTAAGAACTTTGACACAGGGAATTGATCTTACACAGGTGGCTCCAATATCATAACAGGTGTAGAGAGTCACCCTCCAGGGTCAGAGTGATTCAGGGCCACAAGGGAAGGAATGCAGGCAGTTTCTAGAGGTTGAAAAAAGCAAGAATATGGACTCTCACCTAGGGCTTCCAGAAGCAAGCAGCCCTGCCAACTCATTTTAGACTTCTGAACTCCAGAATTATAAGAGGTAAAATCTGTGTTACTTTAAGTCACTAAGTTTGTGGTAATTGGTTACAGCAGTGTCCTAGTTTGTTTTTCCATTGCTGTGATAAAACACACTGACCACTACCAACTTGGGGAGGAAAGGGTTTGTACTACATCTCCCAGGTCACAGTTCATCAGGGAGCCCAAGGTACGAACTCAGGGCAGCAACCTGGAGGCAGGAGCTGGAGCATGGGCCATGGAGGATTGCTGCTTACTGACTTGCTCCCTTGGTCCCTGCTCAGCCTGCTTTCTTATGCAACACAGGCCCACCTGCCCAGGGATGGCACCACCCACAGTGGGCCACATCACTCAACAATCAAGAAGGTGCCCCACGGACATGGCCACAGGCAGTCCAAAGGAGGCAATTCCCCAATTGAGGCTCCCTCAACCCAGGTATGTCAAGTTGACACTAAAGCTATCCAGCACAAATAGCAATAGGAAGCTCATGGGAGTCCAGGCTCCAGAGCCTTCCTCAGCTATACAAAGATGCCAGGGTATCAGCACTCAGCACTAGGCCTGAGCAGAACAGAACACACCTGGCTATGCAAGCTTGGAGCCAACTGACTAAAAGGGAGAAACACCGACACCCAGGGAACTTGGGATAGGCCTCCAAGAACTGTGGGAAGGGATACCTCTATCCCAAAGCAGCCAGAGCACCCCTTGGTAAGGCAGGGGACACACTTTCAAGGACCAGAAAGGAGGAGAGACTCAACATGAGTGAGTCTCCTCTCCTAAAAGATTAGGAGAAAGAATATCTCGTACACACACACACACACACACACACACAGTCACATTCCCAACTTCCAGGCCAAGCACACATACTCAAAAATGTAGAATAGCTAATCCAGAAACAAGCATACTGACTTATACAGACCAAAGCAAATACCTATCCATGGTAATGATGTTCACACTTTCCAGATAAACACACACGATGAAGCAAAAGGAAGGCTGAATACAAGAGCGCTCAAGGGGAACCCCCAAATAAAATTCCTCCGTGTATATAAGGAGTTCAACTCGCCCCATTTGCCATCCCCCTTCTCCAACATCCCTCATCATAGACTGTCGGCTGCCCTGCTCCCACAGGCCCAAGCAGCAAAGATGGCCACCATTGGCCAATGAAGGGCTAATGTGGCAGTCAGTGAGCCGGGGTGCAGCTGTACACTCAGTGAAGTCTATATTGACTCTTCCCTGGCACAGGGTATTGCCTTAAGAAGGACAAAAGAATGTTTCTGTCTGACTAGGCTCTGTGAGTGATGCTCAGTGAAACCGTGTGAAACAGAGAAGACCGTCTCGGGGCCTGACTGTCAGGATATATTAACGTGCCATTTATATCCATGGTGACTTCTCATTTTCCACCCAACCCAGTGCATCCATCCCCGATAGCTGTGTGTGGCAGGCACTTATAACTTGGAAATGGTAAAACTGTCATGTCTCATTAAACTTGCAGTGATGGGATGTCTTGCTATGGGTCAATTCTCAGGATCATTTATTTGATCCAGGATTCTGGTGTGAGACTGAGGTAAGGAAATTAGGATAGCACAGAGTTCGGTCCCACTTTTTTGTCTGGTTATGGCAGACAGAAGTAGGAATTTGCTTTAAAAGTGCTCTGAGACCATTCTATCAATCTTCCTGTTGCCCAGTAAAACTGGGCTTCAATGTTTTCATCTTCCTTAAACATCTTCAAAGATTAATTCCCTTGAGTAGTTAATTAGCATGACACACCTGAGCTATGGGCATGACCTCTTTCCTTCCCTCTGCCATCCCTCTTTGAAGACCAATGCCAGGGGTCTAAGACCTGCCCTTAGGAAGATAATAACCAAGATAATAACTCTTCAAGCTTCGGAAGAGTCTCCTAGTTGAAATGTAAAGCAGAAAGATCAGAAAAGAGACAGCTGGCAAGGACAGGGAAAGGGCACAGCTAAATGGTGACCACCCTAGCAACAAGTCAACACATCAGCACTTTCTGAGTCTCCAATGCCAAGAACTTGGCTCAATGCTCAGAGACGCCAGCTTGCCAAAACCCTAGAGCGATAGAGATGCATATTAGTTCCAGTTCACAGAGAACTTCAGGATCAGAGAGTCTTACTCCAAAGTGTACACACTACCCAGGTTCCCACAATCCTGCCTGGAGAGGTGGATTTAACAATGGACATACAAAAGTACTTACAGCATAGAGACCTCATTTATGAAGGAGGTTGCCAGAAGAGTTGGCTAGATTCCTTGAAGACTCCTACAAGGCTTTCTGGAGAACATCGTCTGAGGGTCAGTAAGCCTGGAAGGATAAAGTGAGGAGAGAACTCACACAAATGAAGATCAGAGTGGGCGCACATCCTCTATGCAGAAGGCAAGGGCCCTCTTGCTCAGATGGATGGCATAAAGACTAATATGCTGGCTGGAAAATTGGCTTCAGGCCTAGTTTAGTAGCCTTGAATGTTGATCTGGGGGATATAAACAATCCTTTGGGAAACAGGGAATCACTGAAGTTCGTAAAGTGGAATAGTGAAAAGTGGCAAGAGAAAAGCTTCCTCTCATCCTAACTTCTGCAGACCATGTCTTGTCTTGACCTGCCCGTCCCATTTCTAGTTGAGAAACATTCTTTTGGAGGTCCTGGGTCTGAGGATTGCATTCAGCTGTAAAAGAAATGGAACTAGAATGGCTTAGCCAAATAGAGGTCTCTCTAACATACCAAGAAGTTGGAGAGTCAGGGTTGGTGAAACTGCTATGGAGTCGGACTGCTCTTGGCTCCATTATTCTTACAGCAAAAGCTTTCAACTCTCACCCCATGTCCTTCGACCCCATTATTCCATGATGGCTACCACAGCTATGAGCACTGAGCCCACAGCTCCAGGTCAAGAACAGGCAGAGCAGAAGGGCTGCCTTTTAAAGCCTTTCCAAGAAGCCCCACCCAAGAGGCTCATTCTATCTCATTGGTCAGACATGGTCATGTGGGTACATCTAAGAGCAGGGCACCTAAGGTGGTAAGTTTTTTACTGTTGCGCCTTAGACAAAATAAGGATTTTGATAGGTTGGAGTTAGGGTTGGGGTGAGATATTGAATAAGCCTATAACTGCCTGTCATTCCTGCTTTGGAAGGCTGGAGCTGCTGAGCCAGACACCTCAGTGGGATGAGGCAGGCAGGTAGAGTATAGCAGCAGCCAGTCTGGGCCTGGCCTGCTACTGTGTCTGCTTTGAGAAAAAGCACCACAGGCCACAACCACATACCACAACAGGAAGGTCATGGTTTTCCCTGGACACACACCCACCTAGAGCTGCTCTGCCTTCTGTCCCTCCTGACCTCCACTGGCCCAGGGAAGCAATGCTGCCTGTGGACTCAGAAGGGCACCAAGATCAGTGCTGTGTGCCTTCCCAAACGGCAAGAGGAAGCATGTCAGAGTCTAGAGTCTCTCCCTGTCCTGACTGCAGATCTCATAGAACACAGCCCATTGCAAGCCAGAGGATCTAATCCTTGGTCCTACACCCAGTTGCTAAAGATTGTCTCGGAGAAGGAGCGCCTTACTAAGATCACACTGTGTGATCCCAAATAATGAAGCACTAATATTTCAGGCAGGCCTCAGGAGAAAAACAACAATAAATCTTGCCTGCTCCCCAGATGGACTCCCATAGATTGCCAACCCCAAGACCAGGGACAGCCTAGAGCTGGGAGACCACTGTCATCTTCAGGGAGGAGCAGAGCCACAGGCATGGTTCTAAAGGCCACTTCCTCTGCCATGTCAGTCTTTATCTCTGTTCAACAGGTGATTGCAAGCAAGTCAGTTAAGTTTCCCAGGTTTCCTTCGTTTGGGTGCCCTGAAGATTACCTAGAAACAGTACAAAAAAGACCCAAAGCCTAATGTCTGGTTTGAGATTATGTCTGGAGG